ATCATGCAAGTTTCAGTATGACAGTGATGGTATTTTTCTATCCATATTTACTGCATTTTTGTCTTAGCTATTATGGCTGCAGATGAAGGAGGGAAAATAAATGTGCATCATTTTAAGTACGTATGTTGTCTATATATGTATATTGAGAAAGTATGCTAGAGATTATGAGAAAAGATGGTTGAATATGGAGAAAGCATGCCAGAGGTATGATGATGTTTTTATGCGTTAATAAGTTCTGTGTGTATGTTTATGAATATACATAAAACTATATATAAAGCTATGTAAACAAATAGTACACTGAGCATTGAAATAATACTACTTTTCTATGGTTGGGTAACCTCCAAATGTGTGCTCTTTTACTCTCCAAATAATAATGAGAGCCATTAAAGTTCTACCTACCCTCTGTCTTGTTTCTCTCTGCTCATATTTGATTGTAGTTGCTTCAGTTTCTTCTCCATTTCATTATTTTCAAGTTCCAGCTGAATCTTTTCCAAATGCAGCTCCCGTACACTTCTAGAGGGATTAAATTCAGCTCTAAAACTGGCACCAAACTGTACTTTATTTTTCTATTTAAAGCATATGCAATGCAGCAGAAAATGGCAGATTGGTATTTTGATGGAGTTTTTTTAAAACCTGACTGTACATTTACATCTTGGCTTTTTAATTTTAAAAAAGGACATCCTGTTTCAGCAATTTCAGATAAAGGAATAATTATTTAAGAATAGACCACCAATTCAGGACAAAGAAAAACAAAAGGAAAAAAAACAGAAAATGGACATCAGAAAACACTTATAAATGTGAACAGCACTCCAATTTTAAACACTTTTACATGGTGGCAGCTCTCATTTGTTTCAATAAAATTAACTTCAAGTAAGTAATTTTAGGATTGCAGCTTTAGTGGTTAGAAATACTTTGCATTTAATGATGCATATAAAAAGGCAATAGATTATCCAAGCACTTCAAAATCAATTAGAGAAAGAAACTTACTTTTTCTTCAGTTTTACGGAAACTCCAGTTTTTGAACCAGGGAGTATCACAAAATCATTGATGTTCATGATTGCAAATTCAGAAAAGCTTAAAGACGTGTCCAAATCATATAGTTTTGAAACCTGTTTACAAGAGAAAAAAACTTATATTAAAACAGTTTCTTTAACAATTCCATCTGTATTTATAATTGGAAGTGGAGAAAATAAGTACTGAAGAAGGACAGCTAAAGGTACTGTTAAGTTTCACCAATTAATCAATTAGACACTGAATCTAACAATACTGAATAATAACCTTTACACAAGGATATTATTATATGTAAAAGGCTTTGAAATAAAGATTTGGGATTAGCTTCCATATACTTAAATCAGTGAGGTTTAAGTAGATCTTGGTTAACTTCTTTTACTTTCAAGTTGCTTATTTTAAACATGACAAAGTCTAGATGCAAGCAATGAGTTAGAAAAGGGCAGATTGTTGATGTTTACAGAATGATGTAACCATCTATTTGTGTTCAGATGGAATGCATCATGATGGTCACTATAATTATATAGCAACTTGGAAGTGAAAAGCCAGATCCTTAAATTCAATGGAAATGCTACTGTGTTTCCCCAGGGTCTTATTTTCTTTTGACCCCGAAATAAGCACTTGGCCTTATTTTCGGGGAGGTCTTATTAGTTTTGAGGTGCAGGAGGTAGTGAGTGTGGTCACCGCATGGCAGCTGCTGTGTTGCAATATTTTTGGGGAACGGTTTGTTTTAGCACATGCACTCAAAAAGCCCGATTGGGCTTATTATCCAGTGAGGTCTTATTTTCAGGGAAACAGGGTATGCTTATGGGTTAGAATGAATGAGTGTTCTTATGTGTAATAGCAATCTTGGCTTAGATTACATCTGAAATTCAAGTTTGAGATGACTCCTACTGTTAGCATCTCTATTGGCATTTTGGGAAACTTAGGGCTACGGTTATAGTTTTGTGATGCTTATGGTAAAACTTTCCCCTGTGGATTGGATTCAGGAGGAATGTAAAATGTTTGGTAGTAATCATGGGTTCAGATCAACCCATGCAGTGGGTTGATCTGACAGTGCAGTGAATAAATACTGCAGTGCATAAACAACAGTGCAGTGAATAAATAACAACTTGGCCAACCCTCTGATAAATTCATAGTAAGCTTCAGTACTCAATTTTAACCCTAAAAGATAGTCAAAACAATCACTGTACCCATACATTGACCTTGATTTTAATCCACACACTAAATATAACCATCAACATTTGAGGTTTCCTGTAAAAAATTACTCTGAGAACAAGCATTATGGTAATTTTTTATAATTAATAGTTTGTTTTACTTCAGTTTGAAATTGAGTGCAAAGACTAGGCTCAATGTTTGTATTGTCATTATAGTCAAATTAGCACAAGAGGGTCCTCTGAGGTTTCTAATAAAATTAGGATAAGAACATTGCACTGAATTGTATATGTTGCTGTGTTATGTTTACATTGCAGTGGGACTGGATGGAGGTGAAGGTGTGAATTAAATATTCATCTGGGCATTTTGGAAAAGTTAAGAGTTTTGAATTATATTTCATTAAGTTTTGTGTTAAAATTAAGGGGTCAGGTTTTTTTGTTTGTTTGTTTAGTGTTAGTTTTTGTAGGTTTACATTCCTCATTATTTCAAGTTTGGCTTTCTCTCTATAACCGGGATGGCAAACCTATGGCACACATGCCACAAGGTCGCACGCAGAGCCATTTTTCCGCTGGCCAGTGCGCATGCACGTGCTGGCTAGCTGACTTCGGCCTTCTTGCCTGAGGAGGGCGAAAACAGCCTCCCCCGCACCCCTGGAGGCCCTCCAGAGGCTTCAGAAGCTTCCCTGAAGCCTTCGGAGCACAAAAAAAAACCCCGGTCCTACGGGCAAACCAGAAGTTCGGGAATGGACTTCTGATTTGCTCGTAGGGCTGGTTTTAGCCCTCCGGAACCTTCAGGCTTCCATGAAGCTCTGGAGGACAAAAAACGACCCTATGAGCAAACCGGAAGTCCGTTCCTAAACTTCCGGTTTGCCCTTAAGGCTGGTTTTTTTGCGCTCCGGAGGCTTCAGGGAAACTCCTGAAGCCTCCGGAGAGCCTCCGGGGAGGCCAGGAGAGGCTGTTTTCACCCTCCCCAGGCTCCTATAAAGCCTCTGGAGCCTGGGGAGGATGAAAAAAGCATGCCAAAAATGGTCATGCGCTCAAGCGCACTGGGGTTGTACACATTGCATTATGGGTGTGGCATGCCCATGCATGACCCCCCCTGCGCTCCCCCCGCTTTTGGCAGGCAAGCCAAAAAAGGTTCACAATCACTGCTCTATAAAGTTTCCACACACTCCTCCTTTTCCTGCCCTCAGGCATTTTAAAGAATAAATCCAAACTTTCTTCCAGCCATATGATTCCATTCCATTCCACTTCATTCTACTCCACTCTATTCCAATGGTAGGGAGTTCTTAACATAAATCCAGTGGTCTTCCATCTAGACCCAATACTAATATAATTGTCCCAAACAGTAAGTTTAAGCATGTTAGTACTTGCTAGGTGAAACAAAGCAGGTCTTTTGAAAACATACAGAGGGCAACAGGATAAACACAAACCGATATCTTGACCTAACAGAACATTCATACTTAGTGTATGACTAAGATTATGTAAATATATTATGCTCCAAGCATAGTTGAATGAGTATATTTGTTTTTCCCTAAGGAGAGGTTTACAATATTCAGCCTCAGTGCACCAAGCACTCATTAAAGTAACTAGAAATTACTCAGAGAAATATTGCCTGGAGTCAATTTTTCACACTGGTGTTTTATCACAGAGTCATTCTATAAAGATGAAGCATTATATTTTCTAGATATTACTTTACCCATGAATAGGGGCATAGTTTTAACCATATCAATACAAACTTACTGACATTATTTTGGATTTCTTATTGAACAGGATTTTTTAGTAAAGGGGGAAATGAAAGTGGAGGAATGGGAAGAATTCAGTAGGAAAGTGCATCCTTTGCAATTGGAAGATCAGCAGCTCAGCTCCTAATATTTTCGCCATAAAAGGCTCAGCAAACAGCTTAGAAAAATTCTCTGCTTGGGTGATATTGGGATAGATTCCCATATCTGGTTAACTGACACAATTAACCCTTTTAGCCCAGCTTGTTTAGGGTTAATCTATTATTCAGACAAGAAAATTAGGTTGAGTACATTGTACTTAGTTAAACCGAAGTGTATTGTGTGAACCCTGTTTTGAAAAGCCATTTCTTACCTACTTGCAATTTGCAATATATGACTCTAACAGCACATTTCTAAGCAAGATATTAAAAATACTTTACTCCCAAATCCATCCAACAAATACTAGAACTTAAAAAAATATGACTGTTTCCACCAGTTATATCTAGTTAGCAATGGGAGAGGAAGCCACTCAGATGTTCCAGGACTTTATGCCAAAGTAGGAAAAAAAACTCAACTCTTTAATAAAAGGCAACCCAGTCCAGCCTCAGTCTCCCCAAAACTAGAACTTCCTGCTGTCCTTAGGAATTTAATTCAAAACAAGCAAGGTTTTACCACTAAACCTAGCACTGGGTAGCATCTTGAGGACTTCCTGACAGGCATGCATTCAGCTTTTTAGGGTTTTTTTAAAGCTGCTTTTTATAAAAAAAAATGATGCAGAGATACAAAAAAAGTGAGATGGAAAATCTCATTGATCTAAATGCCAGAGCCCACTGTAACAGTATTACCAAAAAGGCATTAAGAGATGTTAACCTAATCTTGCATAACTTCTTCTCTGGTAATATTGTACTGCTAACTAAAGCATATAAAATATTTGCTAGACCAATTCTTGAATACAGCTCATCTGTCTGGAACCTGCACTGCATATTGGACTAATACAATTGAGTGAGTCCAGAGATGCTTCACGAGAAGAGCTCTCCACTCCTCTGCTCACAACAGAATACCTTATGCTACCAGGCTTGAAATTTTGGTCTTAGACAACTTAGAACTATGCCACCTTTGGTCTGACCTAAGCGTAGTACATAAAATTATCCGCTACAACGTCCTACATGTCAACAACTACTTCAGCTTCAGCCACAACAATACATGAGCATACAATAGATACAAACTCAAGGTAAACCGCTTGAAACTTGATTGCAGAAAATATGACTTCAGCAACAGAGTGGTGAATGTCTGGAATGCTCTACCTGACACTGTAGTTTCTTCCCCAAACCCCCAATACTTTAACCTTAGACTGTCTACTGTCGACCTCACCCCATCCCTAAGAAGTCTTTAAGGAGTGTGCATAAGCGCCTACTATCCCTGTCCTATTCTTCCATTGTATTTGTAGCCATTTCATGTATTCAAAATCATGTTTATACTTATATATGTTATCTAATACATGCTTGATGAACTAAATAAAATAAATTAAAATAAAATAAATAAAATAAATAAAATAAATAAAATAATAAAATAAATAAAATAAATAAAATAATAAAATAAATAAAATAAATAA